CCTCCGTCATATATATATATATATATATATATATATATATGCGCTTCTCCGTATTTCCCCCTCCCTCTTGTCCGCCACTTCGCTTTACTGCTTCCACTCCCACTTACTGCAGGCGACTGCGATGCGTGATGTTGGCCTACGCTGATGTTACTTGGAAGCCTGGCTCCTAAGCAATAGTGAGAGAAGCAAAAATAAAGGCAATTATTGGTGTCAATAACGGGAAAAACAAACGCGCAGAAATGAAGAGAGAGAAGGAAGAACGAGTGCGTATGTGTGTGATTAAAAAGATAACAAAAAAAGCAGCAAATGAAACGAATAAAACAACCACAACAGCAGTAGCAATTACCTTTGAGCATAAGCAAAAGCACCTTCTTCTATAACTGCGCTCCCGTCACCATCTTGATCTCCCTCCTCTCCCCACACGCACGCACCGTGTTGACTTCGCCATCCTCCATATTACCGCCCCGTTCGTGGGGTACCGCCCGCGGTAGTGCGTGTAGGTGCGAATTTTCCTCTGCTCGCTTCAACGAAGCTGATGATGCTGAGTTCCCAGCCAGCCAAAGAAAGAATTGCCAAACCGAGCAAAAACAACGACGACAATGACTATGCACAACCACAGCAAGAAGAAACTAATACAAAAAGGGACAGGCATCCTCCCCTTTAAACAGTGACTACGCCACAACAATGTGGAGCACATCCATCAGACCCCGCACAACCTCCAATACACACGTGAATGGAAGGCAGCCCGCGGCCGAAACTGGGCCCTTGGCGACGCCGCTGTAAGGAACCACCCACAGCGCCATCACAACAGCCCCAAACAGGGCCTCAACAACATCCGCCTTCCGCTTCTCATTGCTAATATTACACAGCAACCTTAGGTGGCGGGCGATGACCTCGGGTAGATGTGGGGCAAGATGCTTGTTGGAAGACTCGCTAACGATGGGTCCGGCCGTCCAGGTTGACAGCTTATCCTGGGCCACGACAAAGTCCAGAATGGCGTCGCCAAGGTATTCTAGCGTTTCGTTTTGCTCCGGTGTCACCGCCAGAAGAAGCTGGCTCCGCATACTTTGCAGAAGTGCGTCTTGCACCTCCACAGGAAAGTTGCGGAAACAGCACGCCATGTTGGACGTGCGCAGGCTGCGCTCCAGCGGCAGCATAAACTCACGCTCAACGATCTCTGCTATCGGCGCTACCGTCTCCAACTCCCACTCGTCAACGATCACCGTCGACCAGAGCAACGCCCCTCCTCCCCCATCGCTGCGATTATCCTCGTCGGGGTGAATGTCACCGTCATCCCTGTCACCACGACACTGCGCCTCGTCCTCCTCACTCAACTCCATGGCGATTAAGACTGCCCCGTCCTCGTACTCGTCGTCTTGCAGGCTAATGTACGACAGCACCAAGGCTGCGCGGGGGCGGGGGGTCGCCTCTTCGTCGCTCGCCGACACGGGCGCCGTCCGCCTCACGTCGGTGGTGCGCTGTGGACGCAGCAACACCATCGGCGTGGTGGCCAACGATGCGCCGTCATTCACGTCAGCCGGCGTGCGCTGCGCAAAGTACACCGTGAAGGGGTGTTTTTGCCGCTGGCTGCTCACATGGAGTGGAACAAAGGCACCCGCCCTGACCTCAATCCGAAGCTCCTTTGTTGCCACCTGCCAACCGTACGGTACAGCGCCGTCGCTGCATCGCATGCGTGGCAAAATAAGCGACAGTGCAGCAAATGCATCCACGGCGGAGAAAGTGGCCGCCAAGTTTTTCTCATTGGCATGGCAACTCAGCAAGGAGGAGCCTACCGCTAGCCACCTGGAACACACAACTCCCAGGTCAAACTCGCCAAGCGCCGCAAACGCGCTTGTGGCTTCAGCGGCAACAAACCGCAGGCATCGGCGCGCAGCTGCAGCGTCAAAATAAATGAAAGGCTGCGGCGTCAGCCCATTATCCTTGTTATTTTCAGTGTTTTTTTTTATATCGGCATTTGAACTCAACTCTGCCACGCGCACCTGCCCACAAAGTTGGATGAGCTGCCGTGTGAAGCGGCAGAGCTGAGCCCCGCCGCTGCTGCTGCAACCGATGTCGCCCCTCTCTTTGTTAGCGGCGCACGTGCTCCCCTCGCCCTCCTTCTGGTTGAGCAAACGTAATGCCTCCACTGTGATTTCGGTGGACACCCCATCACCGTACAGGACCTCCGCCCGAATGTACGTCATTCCCTCAGTTGACCTCGTGATGACGTCAGAATTCATTTCACTTAGTAGCAGCAGTAGTACCCCCTCTTCAGGAGACTCGCTTGCGGCGCTGCAGTACGGCTGCGGATGGACCACACGCACCATCTTCTCTCTGTGTAGATCAATAAATGTCTTCGAGACGCGAACAAAGGCAGAGTTGGAATTGATCTTAGTGGCCACTAGTGCGGTATCCCACGCCATGCCATCACCCCGCTCATCCCCCCGACAAAAGAGGCTGACCGGCACCAGCTTAAGAAAGGGTCGAAAGTCTGGCACTGTGCGCCCTCCATGGTTCCTCACCTGACTCTGCCATAAATCTACATGATCAATATAGTCGTAAAACTCCACCACGGAGCTAAACTGTGACAGCACCTGCTCCAGCGGCAATAAAGGATGGCTCTCAAGCACTTCCTCAGCAATCCGTCTTGAGCAGTGCGCCCACGTCGCCCGCACCCAAGCATGCCCAGCTGTCTTTGCTGGCGCAACCTTAGCCCCGCTATCCCAGCAGAACTGCAGCTGCCGCAAAGCATTGAGACGAAGAAGCAACGACACCAACTGCTCGGGTGTAGTCGGCATCCAGGCCTCTGTGTGCTCCGCAGCTGCCCTATCGTTGCTCTTCACCCAGCCGTAGTAGTTGCGCTGTAGGTGCTGGAGAATGTCCGTTGCGGGAAACCAGCCTTGCTTCAGCTCCTTCGAGTTCCTCGGGCAGCGCGTGAAGCTAAGAACGGTCATAAACAGTCGCTTCAGCTGCCGCTCAAACCCTACTAGGGTAAGCGGCGAAGCTAAGGACGGGGCCACAGTTGTGCACGCATCAATGTCCGCGCGGCACTCCGTGCCGGAATCATCACTAGTCTCAGCCGCCTTACTATCAACCTCTTTCTGTGGTTCCGTTGGCT